TGTAAAATTGAAAATCTGTTTAATAAATGTCTCGATTAGTATGTGTCAACCCACCATACAGGAATAAATGTCAGGAGGCCTGTTCTGGGTTGCTTTCATTGCTCTTTCTTACTAGAACAAGAACTAGAATTGTTTCTTTCGACCTTGGGGCAACTATTTATAGGAGCTGACCTCGTTATTCTAGAATGGTTCCAGAGTGCACATTCTTGATACCAACACAATCTAGGCAAACCACCATAGGTCTCTTGACGCTTTGCGCGTATAGTAGACTACTCACACGTGACTATACATGTGTATGTTTGAGGCAGAAACTCATGCTGGGAGATGGAAGAAAGTAAGTAAAACAACTAACCTCAACTCATAGCTAAATGAATAAACCCAAAAATAAGTTTTTTGCACAAAAGAAATGAATGCCCTTACGGAGAGGGGAGAAGATGGGCATACTAATCGAGGTGTTTAACGTCCTTTCCGACGATTTAACTCTATAGAGTTGAACGGAGCGGCCGAATTTACATTTTGACCCTGATGAATTCTTCTGCCTGTCGTTATGACGGGCCAAATTTACCACTGCCCATGTATGTATCTATTTATTAACAGTACGTGGGAGCTTTTACCCACTGTACTGAGCGGCATTGCCTAGAATTTTAGACCATTGCTTAGCATTCGGGAGGACGCCGGTTCGATTCCGGATACGTCTGCCTTGGTTCAAGTTTTTCTGTAGTTTCCTTGGATCACTTAGGCTAATGCTGGAACAATAATATTCCACAGATAATCTTTCATTCTCCTTTGTCTTCATTGTGTCCCTCTCATCTTTCTCGCCCGAACCGCCACCCGCCAATTCCTACGATCCTTGAAAGTAGGCCTTCCGCCCTATCTTCCGGTTTAGTCCGGAAGGACTGTCCGCCCACCAGCATTAGTGACTGATGAGAATTAAACACCCAAAAGTTTTTTTTAATCAGTTGTAGGTATTAATTTACGACGATCATTTGTAAAATGTGAAAACAAGCGACATCACTTCTGGCATTGCTTTCAACATGGTCACTTGCGTCAGATATATTCGATACTATTTTTTAGAATTGCCAAGAAACGAGAGCTTGTACTGTCCACCTAAATGGGACAGCCTACTGTGTTGGCCTTTAACTCCCGCGGGTGCAACCGCCAATCAATCTTGTCCACGAATATACGGATACGACACAAAACGATTTGCGTTTAGGGAATGTTGGACGAATGGATCGTGGTATATTCATCCTATTTCTAAAAAGGATTGGTCGAACTATACTACGTGTGTAAATAATGAAGATCTCGAGGTGAGTATGCATAAAAATATTTCAGCGAAAGAACCAAAATAATTTTAAATGTTTCAGTACATTAACAAGTAATAAAAAAAGGTTAAAAGTAAAACAATTTAAAACTATTTATGTCCATTCTTCCAGACTACAATTGTGAAAAGCAGATTCTTTTTACCGTATTAAAAAACTTTTTTAATTTATAACTTGATTACAATAGGTAGTTTTTAAAAGTCGCTCAAGGATTCTACTAAACATTAAAGAAAGCTTTTTCCTATCAATTTCTAATATAGTTCTTTAGTGTCTGGTTGAATAATTGCTTTCTGTAATTTCAAACGCAGCCTCAGCCGTTACATATTTCACATCACTCGACAAAATTCTATACACTAGATCAGCGGTTCTCAAAACATTAAAATTCTGTACACGGAAGTGAAAAGTTGGGCAACCAATTTTTGTATCCATTAGTATTGCATGACGAAAAACTGGCTTATTTGACAGAAATATTTAATGAGCTCAACGTAATGATCAGATCCTTACGGTGAAGAAGAACAAATACGCTTACAATGAAATATCTTCCCTAACGATGACAAAAAACAAAATTGGCTTCTGGATTGAATGCATTGACCAAAAAATTACGAATGGTTTCAACTTTCAAACCTTAAAGAATATGCATTACAAGTAACCGCAGGGTAAAACCATAAATAGGCATCTATTGAATCACTAAAAATACTTAAATGGATATTTTCTAAAGGATTAGAGGACAGTTACTGAATACAGAACCATTTGCAAACCGGGCTAAACCATCAATGTTAACTGCGTCGGCGTTTGAATTTTAATGACCTTCGAATCGAACTTAAGTTTGAATACTCTGCAGTTGTTGAGAAGGTTATCACGGGTCCTGTTTCCAATTTCCTCCTTAAAAAATTTAGAACGAAAGGATACCAATCTGGATTTTCGAATTCAGTTACTTAAACCTAATTTTAATGCTTCTATAAGCTAAAATTCCCATATTAAATACGTGTAATCTAGATTTTGAATTCAAAATTCAATTCGAAGATTATAACATGTACACAATGATGTGTTAGGGGTCTTACACATAAAACTTTTAGATATCAGTTTACATTATTGTCGAGAAGAGGTTCTACCAAAAAAGATTGAATCAAAAAGGGTTCCATAGCAAAAAAAATTGAGAACCGCTACACTAGACAATAATCACTATACAAATGCAACTGAATAATGTCAATGAAAATGCGACTGTATATAGGGAAATAATCATGATCGAAATGGGGCACCAAATCTAGATGATAAAAATCTAAGAAATTTGTGTGTTACTTATCAATTTCGTATATTGACTGTTGAGTGTAAGGTCTGCAAATCTGTGAATAGAGAAGAGTTGGGAGAACAAGAGTTTTATACAAATAAATCAATGTGTTAACGTTCGAGAAGTCCTTGTAACTCCTCTCCAGGAACCCGAAAGCTCTGTAAACGGTCGACAAAGTGCAATCAACATGTCTATCACACTTAACGGAACTCTCAAAAACGACTCCCAAATGCGTCCGTCTCCCAGCCTATAATCACACTTCTTAACTTCTTTATTCGCGGTATTCCAGTCAAGAAGAGCAACAATGTCTCTTTGACAATGATGAAATTTCATTTATTTAAATTACACAACTAAAGGTCGATTGTGACTACACATTCCGTTTCCATTCCATATCTATTCCGTATAATACGATGATATAATTATTCAAAAACAAAAAAAAAGTATTACTTTCTTTCTATATAAGCAGAAACAGGTAATGTGAAACTGATTGCAAGTATTTATATGCTACTGTTATTCTGAAAGAGGGCGGGGTTGGTGTACCGTTCGAAATTTACTAATGATCTTCTAGATGTATGTAAATTCCGCCCGAGGTATTTTTATTTCCTTACGTAAATTTCGTAAAATATATATTATCTTCGTTTACTTTCTGTAGCGATGTGACCTTCAGTTTGACCGGCGCAAGGTAGAAAAGAACAGCACTAGGCCAAAAAAGGAAGGAGACAGCTCTCGGCCAAACTCTGAACCGGTGAGGAGCGTATAATCCGCACAGTACTGCACGGAAAAATTGACCGTTTTATCCTCTACAATTGCATTGCTCAAACGTGCTGTTATTGGTACCATTTATTACTGAAAATATCAACGAGATGTTTATTTATATTTGAAGAAATATTAAAGGCTGTAACGCTTGTTTTCAACTCGCACTACTATTCATGATTGAACAAAACTTTTGGCAGGTACTGTATGAAAAAGTATGTTTAATGAACAAGAGTCGAGAGTATAATGAGCTTTTTTCTCCCTACCTACGATTTTGCCAGCGCTCTTCCAAGACATTGGAAAGCGCACATCGCTACAGAAAGTAAATGAAGTATACTTTATTGTGCGACCAATGTATAAGTGGATGCTACATTTAGAAGCCATCCCAAATATTTTTACTACATAATTACTTTTCATGCATTGCAACAAGATTCATATGTACCTACCTCTCGTATTTTTATTACTTCCTGATAAAATTTCAAAGATCTATATTAAATGATTCAAATGAATCATGAAACATTTTTATGGATATCGAAAACGCAATTCATACTGTAATGCAACTTGTTTTGATTAAATCAAGGATGACAGGTTGTTGTTTTCATCTAGGCCAAGCCCGGTATAGAAAAAGTTTTTTTTTTGGCTTTTGATTCTTAGACCTAACGATGTCGTTCATGTTTCCACTGACTATTTAATGATACTTCTTCCAGAAAATGGACAAGGAAATGTTATTTGTGATTATATACTATAAAATTATATATCTGATGAGGTAGCTTTTCCTCCAGAAATAAGGGCAGTTTTCTTATTCGTATATTTCGAATGATACCAACTAATTTAATTTTTTGCTATAGCAGAGACTTTAAAATATTATCTACGATAGCGTTTGCAAGGTTTTCAAATCGCCGCATTACTTTTATCGCACTCATTAAGTGCCGGTACATATCGGACGGAATTTGCGTATAGTAATAAAAATCGCCGAGACGGAATTTACATTGATATGCTGTCCGGGACGGAATTGAGGCTTTCCGTGAAGACGAGAATTTGCAAAAAAAAAAGGAATGGAAAGAAAGCAATATTGAAAAATGGTTTTATTGATTTATTACATTCTAAATAATATAATATAAATGCGATTGTGAGTTTATTNCCGTTGATTCAAGAAAATAAAAGATAAAAAAAATTACTATATGAGTTCGGGCTCAGATACGTCAACAGTGCCTCTTATTTGGTTACATAATATCCTAACATTAAAGAAAACTTCCCAGGGGGATGGCGATCTGTTCCGTTTTTTTATTAAATGCGATACATACTTTCATTCCTATAAGATACTTAGAAAAAATTGAAACAGAAATAATTTTGACATTTATAATTCATAAATTTTTATTATCATTCCAAACCCATAAAATTGAAACAAAAATATAATCTAACTACGATAAACATAATTGCACCTATAATTATGTGTCAGTTATTTTCTAACCTTCATGATTTTAACATTAATAATTTAACCACGGGTTGTTCAATTCGGCGTGATATGTAAAACAAAAGATGTGATACAAACGTTAATCTGTTTTGTGCTTTCATCCAAAAGTCAAAGACAAAACGGTAGGTATTTAAGTTTGCAACAATTTTTTTTCTCTAAAAGAAGACAATTCTGAGGAAACGATAGAATTTCATCCATCCTACTATGTTGTAAGTAATACGCAGTCAACTAATGTTGTGATACAACAGGCAAAAAAGTATCAAATAATCACAACGGTATGTTGGTTCACGTTGCAATTTTTTAAACACCTCAGCGTTATCAATTGCTCATAAACGAATTAACTTTATCTTACAGTTAGATAATCACAATAAACAGTCAGTTTATGGAAACATTAAACTTGTAGATTAAACTTTCCTAAATAATTCAGTTTAAGCATAGATACATTACTGCTCAATATATCTATCAATTTATCGTATTTATCTACTGAAATTTATACAGGATTACATTATACACAGGGTAATTTCAAAATCAAATAACTCATAGTGGTTTCTAATCATATCTCGCATTAAATGATACCAAATCGATCCAAAACCAGTACACCCTTTTGTAATTGTAACTGATTAATTAACTGAAAGTAAATAAAGGATCGCCAACGTTCAAACGTTGATGGCCTTTCGCTTAGTAATGTTTGCGGCTGTCAACTGGTGAACTTTTAGCATGATTCTTTTCTATTTGACAACTGTTTTGTTGATACTAGGGTTTACACGTGGCTTACAGACTTTGAGCTGTTTCGTCATAAACTGTTATAAAATCTAATCTTTCTCGGTCTACCCCTCTTAACTCCTGTTTCTGCTTCCAATATGTCTCTACCTGACTTTTCATACCCGATAAGGTGTTCTACCAACCTATCCCGCCTATTTCCTATTGACTTTCATAACGCCCTCTGTTCTCCTCATTTCTAATTTTCTATATCCACTAAATCCTCATCATTCACCTGTAACACCACATTTCAAACTCTTATAACCTACCGTTGAGGTCTTCATTAATTAAAAAGAATAATTTCTATTCTAATCAAAATGTGAATGAAAAGTTGCACAAAATGCAAAGGAAATCTTGTCTTCTACTTATCATATTATTATACGAGGGCGGTTCAATAAGTACCCGTGTTTGAAGGCGGAGGCTGTTCCTGAGGGAAATCGGTGTTGTCATCGTGTGCTGTCATCTATCAAACCACGCCAAAACGAATTTCAGACTAATTGATAGGTTAGTTTGGATTTGGCAGCCATTCGACTGAGACGTGTTTCGTTATTTTCGCTAAGATGGAAAAAGAGCAGTATCGTTCGGTAACTCGCTTTTTGTTTTTGGATGGGAAGAAATGCGAGGAGATGAAAGCAAAGTTGGATACTGTTTATGGAGACATTTCGCCATCTACGACCACAGTTAAATATTGCTTCAACAAATTTAAACGTGGGCAAAGATCCGTTTTTGATAGGAGCGATCAGGAAGCCTGACAAACGTTGTTACCGAGGAAATCATTTTACGGATTGTTTTGGAAAAGGAAGAACGATCAATGGACTACTACAGTGAGTTGTTGGACCGCTTCGAAAAAAAATTGAAGGAGACACGGACGCATTTGACGAAAAAGAAGGTGCGTTTTCAACACGATAACGCACCGGCACATTCGTCAGGAGTTGTTGCTGCCAAAATGTATGAATTACCTTATGAATTTGCTGCCGCACACCCCGTACTCACTCGATTTGACTCCCTGCGACTTCATCTTGTTCCATACGAAGAAGTCATCGCCTAGACAGGGGAGATTTTGGAGAGTTCGACAAATCTTATTTTTTGGAGGGGTAAAAAAAATTGCAGGGTCGTTGGGAGAAGTGTATCTTTCTAAAAGGGGACTATGTTGAAAAATAAAAAAACAAATTTAAAAAAAAAGTGTCTTCATTTCTAACACGGGTACTTATTGAACTGCTCTCGTACCTATGTAGTGGCATTCAATAGTGAATCCTTTTGAGAGAGACAGCGGCTTTAAGGGTATTTAAAACGAAATAGAAGAATTTTCTAGCTTATTATTCTCATTATCATTAAGTAATAGGAACATTCATACGTCACTTGTGCAAATTTTAAATATCGTTCCATCACCGTGAAGATTCCTTCAATTTTAACTCATCTGTTAAACGTGTCTGTTTACCACTTTGAACTTTGTAGACTAATATAAAGCACAAGCGCACGTCAATACTGTCTAATTTTAATTTTAGAGGATGATTTGATGATCTTAGAACGTGTTAAGATCGGTATGCTGCGTTGCAATGCGCGGGAAAGTTGTCTAATGATTTTTTGAAATATTTTTGCACGGGAGACATCAACGTTGCGTCAAGCGACGAACCCGATTTCGATAATTTTGAATATCGAGTTTATTGAGTTGAATTAAACGGCGAAAACGGTTTCATTGTGTACTTTATTAAGGTATATTGTTTAAAAAAGTGTTTTTGTGTTATTTGGGCCTTAATCCACGCGTTAAGATCAAAATAGGTGAGGTTTTTGAAGCGGTTGTTTTAACAAGAGAAAGGCATGTTTAACAAAAGTTCTGTTGCAAATTTTAAAATACCTCGAAGAAGTAGATAAGTATCCTGTTATCTTTTGAATAGAGGAGGTGTCCTTGAGTACTAGACCGCTTTTCGAATCTATGGCTAGTTTCTCCGTCAGGGGGCGTTAAAGTTGACCAATATTGATTTGGCTATTATGGCTAATTATTGATCGATTTATATGATTGAAAAGTTGATTCCTATAGATTCTAGCTTGTTTATTAATAATATTGATGATTTTTTCCATTAACACTTGTAATAAAAAAGTTCGAAAAAAATCACGTTTTTGAGTAATAACTTCTAAAACAGAAGGAATGTAAATAATCAAGATAAATTCATTAAAAAAAAACTTTTGTGATATTAGATCTAAATAATTCATACAGCAAATAAATTATTTTTCATCGATAACATAAGACCATGAGGCTCCACCCTCTTGTTGAAAATCCGCCAACCAAGAATTAAAACTTCGTATTGGTTTAATGTTTAAACAAATATTTGAGCAGGACTTAATGTGATTTTGGGATGTTAGTGGGGGTAGTATTTAATAAAAACCCTGCCAGAACGAAGACATGAACCATTATCCGAGGGGTACCCGATTATGCGGTACCCGGAAAAATTACTATCCGCTGCCCTTTTGAATATCAACCATTCCCGTACATACACAGATGCTCTGGTAACTTTGTTATGCGTTTCACTTATACCATATACACGATTGATAAAATTCCCTAACGAGGGTTGGAAACAATAATGAAGTGGTGGAAAGGGGTTTCCTATCGGCACTTGTATTCTACCTCGTTGTGCATTTAGTTTAATCAATAATCCCGTTGCATATTCAGAGAAATATTCATTTCAAGTCGAACAAATCTACCTGACACAATTCATTCCCGTTAATTCAATTTAAAAAGCCCGTGGAAGAGAAAAATTCTGCTACTGAATGATAATACTCGTCATAGTCGTTAGTGTTTTGCTTTTTATTTTCCTAGACGCTGTTCTCTGGTGCTGACGTAAATCGAGGTGGTGTTTTGTTTTTTCCGTTTTTCGTTCTATTGTTATTTGTGATTATCAATTTTTTAATTTTAAAAAGAGCCAATAGCGATCAACGATTATTTTATAAGAACGTAAACAAATTGTTTAGAGAAATTATATTTACGACAAGTATTTTAATAAAGCCAGTATTCTTTTCTTATATTTTCTTTTGTTTTTTAGCTTGTTAGGCCTTATAT